CTTCGTGCTCCACACAATAACCAAGCTCTCTTGTTTAGCAGCAAACATGGCCCTCTTCAGCGAGGTGACCCACGTATCCGGCGTATTCCTTTCAGCACCCGAAGAGCCACCTTCCGTGAGGTGGAACGGGTCCATGGGACTTTAAGCAGTTTGCTGGTATATGGTGAGCTGTCATTTAATTTTTCTCTGTTGTTGACTTGACTTTTAGCACTTGAAAGATATTTTTTGGTCTGTAATGCAGTGCCAGTCAAATAATTAAACTTTCTAAGGAATGATTTCTTTCTTTATTCCCTTCAGAACCACCCAAATACTTGTAACTGCACTTTAAAAGCGTTGCAAGTAGTTTTCTTAGTCTTATCCTAACATATTGGAGTTCTCTTCTGTCCTGTCCTGTCCTGCTCTTGTAAGTTCTCCATTCTATTATAGAAATTTAGTCCAAAACTATGCCATTGAGATGCTATTGGAAGTGTAATCTCAATTTGAGCATCTTAAGGGGAAAGAAACAAGGACATTAAAATTACATTCTGATTTTTTTTTAAAATAGGAAGTAATACAACAGTGGCAGATCTGACTAGTTCTCCTCGGAAGACCTGGAAAAAAGTAGTTCGTAAGGATGAAGCATTTACACAGCCTTCTGGCACTAGTGAGGAGGACGGCCATTTTGAAGCTGAAGGAATACATTGTTATTCCTATTCTGTCACCCTTCCTGGTCAGTGTAGTTATCTTCTGCATTCTTTCTTTCTGACGTCTGGTGTACAGAACGAAAAGAGTACAGGTTGTCCGCGACTTACAACAGTTCATTTAGTGACCGTTCAAAGTTACACTGAAAAAAGTGACTTATGACCATTTTTCATACGACCTTTGCAACATCCACATGATCATGTGGGTTTTTTTTTACTCAAAATTGCTTGGCAATTGGTTTGTATTTATGACCGTTGCTGTGTCCCAAGGACACGTGATCCCCTTTGGCAATCTTCTGACAAGCAATCTATGGGGAAGCCAAATTCACTTAACAACCAGGTTACTAACATCAACTTCAGTGATTCACTTAACAGCTGAGGCAAGAAAGGTAGTAAAATGGGGCAAAACTCACTTAACAAATGTCTATCTAACAACAGAATATTTGGGTTCAACTGTAGTCATAAGTCGAGGACTACAGGTGTTGAAGTTAACAATATACTGGGGATTTTGCCTAGAATGATTAGTAGCTTAATGAGAAGTCCCTGAAGTAAAATGTTTCAGGCAGCATGGAGTTTACTAATGTATAGGGTGTGATCATAGCAGACTTTAATAATGACTGATGGCATACAGGTGGATAACATGAAACAACAAATATAACCAATTCCTTCTTTTCCCCCTCTCCCCATTCTCATCTGAGCTGTGCTTTTTTTTTACAGTCTCTGTAGCAACGATAGAGGAAGAAGAAGTGGGGGAAGAAAATCTGGAACTGGTGGAGGAGACACTAAATTTATTAGATTTACGTGAATTTGAGGTGACGCCAAAACAGAATCGCAAAAAGAGGAGAAGGAAACCCAAGACACCGCCAAGTAAGTGGTTGAAATAATGACCCTGCTTTTAGTATGCCTATTAGGTTTATTGCTTTGTGGAATGATCTTCAAGGATAGCAAGCAGGACGATAGAACTAGACTGGCTTTTTGGCAGATTCTTCTTTTTATAGTCAATGGACTATAGGTTGCGGGCAAAGAGTCTGCTAAGAGGTTGGTGATATCTTGAAACATCATCTAAGTCGTCTTAGAGTAGATCACCTCTGGCCTTCAGATGTTGCTGTACTGCAATTCTTGACTTTTCCAGCCAGCATGGCTAGTGATGAGGAAAGTTAAAATTTGCAGGTTAGCAACACTATCCCAGATACAACCTCATTGGTTTTAAAATCCTATTAGTGCTAAAATATTAGGCAAGGATTTAAGGGGACTGATTAAAACCAGGGAATCTTCTACTGTGTGTTCTGAGACAGAGTCTAACGTGGAGACTTCAGGAAGTGTTGAACACAATACTTCAGTATGTAGAGGACCAGCGTCAACTGACATCCAAGAACAGCAAGAGCCTCAAGGTGAGTTTGGGAGCATGTGTGGGATAACATAGTCTTCCAACTGGCTATCTTGACCTTTATTCTAGATTATGTGTGGCAGGTTGGATCTGTGGCTAGATGCTATTGGATGTGTGTGTGTGGAGGGGGATTGTATGTTGTTCTGTACTGATGTTTTTATTGTGTTAGCTGCCCGGAAAACCTTTTAATGGGATAGGCAGCTATATAAACCCCAATCATCCCCTCTTTCCAAATAATAACCTCAAATGCACTTGAATACCTTTCTCTTCCTCCCAGATGCTCCCAGCACAACTGTGCAAGATGCTTTATTTACAGCATGCAAAATGGGAGACATTGGAGCCCTACAACATCTTCTGGGAATGGCTGATAATACAACAGATAACAGTGAGTGCAGTGATATAGTCACAAAACAGTTGCTCAACACACCCCTGGATGAGAGTGGCTGGACTGTTTTGCACGTGGCGGCAGCAGCAGGAAGAACTGCAGTTGTGCGGCTCTTGTTGGAGAACGGGGCTGACCCTGCCATCAGGTAATGTCCATCAAGAGAGGGTCATATTGAGGCCTAAGTTAGCCCCAGTCTTAAACTGTATTTAGTCTGTGCATGGGATCTGACTCGCAAACTTAGCAATAAGCAGCTGAGATAAGCAACAATAAGTTCTTCTGCCGCATCTCCACCGGTGTCTTGGTTTCCCTTCTAGTTATTATGGGTCCAGGATTTTCATAAATATAAGGAATTAATACTTTACAAGAACCAAGGTATTCAAAATTGTTTTGGCATATTTACATGGATGTTTAAGTCTTCCGAGTAGCAAACTAGAAGAGAGTTGTCCTATTTTCATAGCTGGAAAGGTTTTCACATCTCTTTGTCTCAGCAATGATTACCTTGAAGGTAACCCTTCTTGCAAGTGTTCTGTAACTTTTATTTTATAAAGCACCCACTATTTTATACTCCAGAGACAGAAAAGAACAGCCTCCATACTGTGTGTCTACCAACAAGCAAACCCGTAATGAATTCCGTAGATTCATGGGTGAACAGCCAGAGAGGTACGACTACACCCGGGCTCAGGTGAGTGGAAACAAGGTCTTGGATGTCAGCTCCCATCATTCCTTCCTGACTAAGTTAATCAACTTAGGAAGGAATGATGGGAGTTGACATCCATCCGCTAAAGTGCCACCCATTGGTTGTCATTTAATGAAGGTCATCTTTAGGTATGGATAACTTTAAATGTTTGTTTCAGTTGCCCAGTCTAGATTTTGTCTATGAAGCATACAGCGATGGGGAGGAAAGCTTTGCACAGGATATAGAAAAGATTAATGTCCTCTTTAGGATTTTCTTTTGCTGTTGGGATCGCCTCCTGTTCTATTTGATTCACATATGGAATGTAACCACAGGTGCCTGGCCCCCTAACTGCAGAAATGGAAGCCAGACAGGCAGAACGCCGACGAGCACAGAAAGCCCTACGGAAGCAACGAGAACGAGAAGACCGTGAAGCACAATTACTTCTGGAGCAAGAACAGGAAGAGAAAAAGCGGTTTGCCCTGCTCAGTGATCGTGAGAAGGTCAGGGCTTAAAGTGGCTTAAAAAGTGATAGCGTTTCTCATTCTTCTGTTCACTGAAAACATTCTGCTGCAATATAGCAATAGCACCTAGACTTAGATAGTACCCCATAGTGCTTTACAGCACTCTCTGAGCGGTTTACAGAGTCAGCATATTGCCCCCAACAGTTCACTACACCCATATAACACTGCTACTCTGTAAGTTATTTTGCCTTCCAATAAGATTCGATAGAATTCAATGTTCTGCTTATCACTTTTAAAGCTCTACATGGCCTAGTAGTAGTAAAGTTGCAGAACCACTTTCTGCAAAGAACATCTGCCCGCTCCGCATACTCCCACAGAGAGAGCATGCCCCAGGTTCCCTTTTAAATTTTGCCACCTTATGGAAGCTAGTACTGCAAGCATGCCTTTTGGAAGGCTGCCTCTGTGCTCTGGAACAATCCCTCACCCACCCTAGGAGAGGCTTTTTCCATAGGCAAAGTTACTTTCTGATTGTTTTTTATTGTGCTTAGTTGCCATTTTCTATTAATAAATTGTGTACATTAGTGCTAAATGGTTCGTTTATTTTATTTCTTTTATGTTGTATGTTACCCATAGTCCTATTGTGTTGGGTAGCCTAGTAAATCCAATAGATTTTAATAAACCTTCTTCTATAGTTTGATATAATGTTGTCCAAATTCTTTCATCAACATTTTGAGACTGTTAATGCGTTGAACTTCATACAGAAAGATGGAGACCATTCTTTTTCTATACGGTGACTTTTTCCTAATCGTTTATTTTCATTCTAGCGTGCTCTGATGGCTGAGAGGAGATTTGCTTCCCAATTAAAAGACTCTGGTGCATCTTTGACCAATACCAGGTATTTTGGGAGGGTGGGGACTTCCTGAGAAATATTATTTGGGTAAAAACCACATGATTTCTCATCTTTTGTGTCCATAGGCGCTGCTGGTTTTGTGGGGAATCCCTTTTGGGTTGCATTCCTTTCCATTACCTTGACTTCTCCTTCTGCTCCACAAATTGTCTCCAAGCCCATCGTCGAGGGAAAACTCTCCCATCTTAGCTGGAGGTTTTGCTTTGGCATCAAGAGACTGTGCTACAACAGAAATCCAACCCCAGGACTGTTGTCACTTTAGAATGGTGAGAGATTAAGCACAGCAGGAAAGTCACAAGTAATTGTTTCCAAGTGGTTCATAAGAAATTAATATGGACTGCTGTTATTTGAGAAATGAACTTCTTTTGTAAGAATGTAGGTTTTTCAATTTTAAACTAGGTTATTTAGGAACTGGTTAAAAAGAGCAACCTCTCTCCCCAGATATGTTGGGCCTGCCCCACTGGAATTAACTGCTGACTGGGAGTTCTACAAGTTAAGAATTGTAATACATCTTTGCTGTGCTGGTTACAGAAGTCTACTGTATATTAAGGAATAACTGAACGAAGATCATAGATAACAAAAATGGAAGAATCCTTGAGCACTGTTTTTTTGACCTAATGCTATTTGATTGTCTCTTAGCTAGTACTTTCACAAGTAGCAATAGATGTCTTAAGAATCGAGACAGACCCTTGATCTACTTAATATAAAGCACAAAGAACTTGATATCTGTTCCTGATGTTTAAAGGTGCCTTATCCCCAAGTATGTCATGTGATTGCCTGGTTCATCCTATTTTCACTCAACTTTGCCAGTTTCCAATTGCAACTCTATCTTTGATACAAATGCAATGCCAAGAATGCATTACAATACTATACCAGATACCTGCATATTTAATTTGGTGAGGAGCATGATTCATCCTGAGCACTTAAATAGCATCAACTTCAATTAATACTCCAGTGAAAGACTTGCCCTCTAAATAACTGTAGTTTACTTGGTTTGTTCATTAGAGCTTACGCTACAGTCCAATACTTTATTCATTTGATTCTTACAAGACAGTGATTTCAAATACTTTTGCCAGGGGTCTCAGCAATGTCATAATCGGATAGCATTTCCAGTTATTTCATGTCTTTTACAGAGAAGCTAGAAGTGCCATTGAGAACGGGACGGTCAAGAAAAAGCACCTTTGGGTTTGATGGTGCATTCTGCAGTTCCAACACTACAATAGTATTGAGGACTGAGGTACTGAGGAGAAAGCCAGGCACAAAGAGGGTTTGCTGGGGTCCACGAACTGGCCAGAAACGGCCCAGGTTAAAACCGTTGATCCAGATCTGGCCCTAGTTAAAAAGATAAAAGTGATTTTTATAAAGTAATACTTTATTTGGGCATCCCAGGAGACTACTGCATCTATTTCATATTTTATTATTTATCCAAAGCCAGGAAAATCACTGATGGCAAGAGAAAGCTTACTAGTATAAAGCTTAGAAGTTAATTCTGTATGTGTGTGGATTACAACTATATGATTTGAATATATAACAATAGGAAGACATACTTTTAGATGGTAAAAAGATATTATTCTTAATAATGTAATTATGGAATTTGAAATGCTGAATGAATTTTATAAATGTTTATAGGAACAACTGGCAAACATTAATGTTCTACACCAGAGTTTTCTAACCTTTCTGGCTTTGTAGATTGGGGGAGTGGCTTAAGGCCCGATAGGGGGGCTGCAGCCAGGGAGTTGAGGATTCCTGTTCTACACAATGCTAAAACCAATAAAATTTTATGTTATTAACCCTACCTCAACATAGTTCTATAAAGTAACTATTTAATTACTGTTTAAATTACATAAAACTTGTTTTTGGCATCATGTGATATTTTGTCTTTCCTTTTCCCTATTTTGACCTTAATGGCCACTTAATTTTGATATTCTTAAAACGGTAAATAAAGGCAACTTTTTACTTATAAACTAATTCTTGAACTGCCTGTAATTATAAAGTGCTTAATGGATAAATATAGTAAAAGAGCTGCAGCTAGTAATTTGGATCATAGAAGCTCCATTGCCAATGAGAGGAAGCAAAGAAATCACCTTGCTGCATAATGGAAGATAAAATTGTGTTCAGGACTGCTATACCTTGCTCCACCCTGGAAATTTCACATAGGTGTCATAGTTGATACCAGGTGTTTTGAAGACCCCAGTATAGAAAGCAGGTCCTGCAGTGCTATTGCTTCGTGGGACATATGGAGGCCATTCCTGGGCCACAGCTGAGTCAATATCAAGTGGATAGATTAGCCAGTCGCTTAGAATGGTAGAACCCAAAGTAAGATTATGGGTCAGGCCCTGGGCAAAAAAAGGGAAAAGTACACTAAGATGTGAAAAGAATAGCATACACTTCGCTTTTAATCTGTAGCCCTCATGTGAGAAAAGAGTTGAATCCTGCTGCTTGGCAAAACAATCAGCTATTATCTGTAAGGACCTAATCATTTTTCCTGTAACAGGATTTTTAAAAGATTTCTCCCCCAAAAAAACCTGGAATAAAGCTATTCAAGCAACTAATAAACATTATATCAGAACGTGCAATGATTAAAAATGAGTTCATTACTTTTGCTTTACAGCTCATTTTTCAGAAGAATGCCTAATACTCCAATTCCAAATCTCAAAATAATAATAATAATAAATAAATCCCCAATTCTTTCAAATCACTTCAGTTGCTGTTTATTATCTAGAAACGGCTTACTCTTCTGGAAAATACTTAACTTTGAAGCGATAATGTAGCTGCCTAGAGTCCATCCCACTCCAGTGTACTTCTATGAATAAAAGTTATGAATAAAATTACTCTTTATCTACTATTTCATCAGTAGTGCTCTCCTGCAGTACCTTAAAGTCACTGTTATTTGCTCCAAAATTGATATGGCCCATGCTCTCCACCAGCAAGTCCAATGAATCTCCTAGCTGACCAGTTATAGTGATGGAATTCACTCTGTCTCGTTCCAGTGTCCCTTTATATTCCTCAAGGCAGAAAGAATAAAGGATTAACAATTAAATAGCACTTTTAGAACTGAAGCAAAACCCCTATATCACTCAGCAGCCTCAAGCAATCACTATGAGAACCAGGGACATCCCCCCCGCCCCCCGCAATTAAACGCCTGGATCATACAAATGTCTCCACTTTCCAACTTACTCCATTAAGTAAAACATAGGCAAGGTCATGGATCCCATTCTCAAGGACTGAGAGCAAAACAGGCTGTAGGATGTCATCTGGAAGAACAGTACGATACAACATAAAGCCATGGGTCTGAAATATAAAATGAAAACTAATGCAAATGTGGACTGTAATCCAAACACCAAACAGGCAAGATCCAAAGGATCTTTTTTTCAGCTTCTCTGAGTTTTCCTGAATTTTCTCTTAGAACTACTCTTAGCTCCCCTTTTTGATGCCACAGACTCTTGTTTCATTTCTTACCTGCATCAGAGCCTCAAAAGTGAGGGGGAAGGAAGAATGGAATGGTAGGCCAGGGGAGAGAAGACTTAGAATATCCAAAAAGGCCACACGCTGTAAGAAAAAACTGAAATTGTATTTATGCTATTTAAAAAGTAAGATACAAAAACATATTTCCCCAAATCATTTCCATTAAAAATATCAAATAATGCAAAGTAAGTATACAGCAACATTAAAACAAGCAAAAAGATAACTGTCATTTTAAAAATGCTGTACCATATAAGCATATCACTGTTTAAAAATGAAAGCAGTGGTTCTGCTGAATTCCTGATGTGGGCATGGAGCACATCTCAATACTGGTGCCATTAATACCATCAGTTTTATGTATCAAATTTTCTATTTCAAAATCCATTTTAATACCTTTGATTCCATCTTAGGAAACAACATGTAAGACTACAGGAATAGCTTATCCATTATCCAATTCCTAAACATCCAATGGAATACAGTATCTTAGAAGTCTCACTTACCAGTGGTAAAGATATATAGCCATATGAAAATTTGGGAGTGGGAGGTGGTATTGGTCCTGCAGGCACCAGTTGAAACTGCATTTAAAACAAAAAAGCAAAAGAGGTCAAACTTAACATTAATTTCAGCTGATGACAATATCACATTTAGCAACTGAAACAGAAAGAATAAACCAGTTACCTTGCCTCGACATGGCTCCTACCAGAAAAAAAAAATCTTTAAAAATTGGAGGGGAGGAGATAACTTTTAAGCATCCAAGTCCCCAGTATTATCTACCATCTGCTAGTGAAACATCACCATTCTCTTGTTCCCAAAATAGCTGTCCTATGCATATTCGACTGCAAGTGGAGGAGAATGAGAAAATAATTGCTGAAATAAAGATTGGTACATGCAGTTCATTCACTGGAGATTTGGATGTGGGGAGCCCAAATGTAATTCACCACTCTTTTACTTGATTGCATATTGAACCAGATTTGGCTATATCATGGCTGTCTGGTGCAGTAATACCAAGCTCTTGTAGTCATTCCATTCCCCTGCTTCCAGGAATCATGAATAGAACTTATCTCTTCTAAAACTTACTGCCAATAATTTATTCGAATATGCTCTGATTAAATTTTAAACTTTAGGGTTATATCCTACCTTAGTTGTGACTGCATGTGCATAGCAGCAAAAGAGCAGATTATTAATAAATAGTTTCTTTCAATCAGTATAAAAAGCAGCATTGCCTCTCAATCTACTGTCAAGAATGTTGAATTGTTACCTTGCCAATGATGGCTCGAATGTCATACAGCTTTTCTGTAGGATCTCCAGCTTCTGAGAGAGGTGCATCATAGTCATAGCTAGTAGTGATAGGATAATACTTGTCCTTGTAATCAGCACCTGAGTAGAGAAACCTATGAGAACAAATCAGGCTTCTGGATTTCTAACTCTCATCTGCAACTAGATACCAGTACTTCTATTTTCCACCCAGAAGCTAAGCCTAACAATATCTGATTGAGGTAGCAACCCCAAGAACCCAGAAACTCACCACTCCAGTAACCAAAATTGGTGCCGCCCTGGAACATATACCTAGAAAAAGATCAGGCAGCAGAGTAAGAATTCACTTTCCATCCAAGCACTGAGACAATGACTGATTGTGGAATAGAAAAAAATGGACAGGGAGTACAAAAGGAACAAAGAACAGTTTTGCAGTTGGATTTGCATACTGAATAAACCATAATGTGACCTGTCTGGTTTTTGCTTAGAATGAGGAGAATGTGACTCCATATAAAGTAAGATAAATAAAGTCATATAAAGTAAGATAAATGGTGAACCCCGGGTAGTCCCAAATATGTTCAAGTTTCACATTACATCTTCATTCTGCTGGAAAATTTTATTTGCTATGTATGGAAATACATAGAAAGAAAAGATAGTAAGATTGTACACGCACACGCACACCCACACACACCCACACCCCATCTGAAGTACCAAAATACCCATATAGAATAAGATGAAGCTAAGAGCCATGACTTCTGTCTTAGACATAATTCATTTCTTTTTATAATCAATTCTATTGCTTCTGTCCCCTGCCACTCTCCCATATAGTCTCACGGTTACATGTTGACGTTGGCTCCCAATTCTAGGATCTTCTGTAGGCCATTAGTCACAACTGTAGTACTTTTTGTGGAGTGTGGCTCACCCCAATAATCCAGCCAGCCTGTGTAATACTCAGAATTCACCTAGGGGAAAAGCATAATTAAGACTTTTATGGAATAATAGCAAAGCTATTTTCAACACCTGAAACCATATATAAATGTTAAAATCTGAGAGCACAGGATAAGTAAGTCAGACCACAAAAATAGATTAGTTGATACATTATGATTTACAGTCCATAGAACCACATACTTCAACAATGATATCCAAGCTGTACGTTATCATCAGCTGCGGTGGCTATGCTCATGATCTCATTTATGTCCAAAATGAAGCTGTGCACCAATTAGGAAATATACTCCAAGGTGAATATCTCTGCTCATTATGCTGTCTACTTTAAAGTGGTAATTTAATATATGCTTGTATCTGTAGAAAAACAACTTTTAAACTGAATTTGAATTGAATGAATTAAATATTAAATGAATATTGTTCATTTTATTTTTATTGCATTTATTTTGTTATTTTGTATATCACCCTGGTACTTCTGAAACACCTAATTATTCTATAATTG